ATATCATACATCTCTCATTGCATAGATTCGCATTCATTCATAATTCTTCAATGTTTATTTTCAACCTTTCAAAACTCTCTCCACGTGCCTACCACCATATCAATTAAACAGACCTAGTAATTCCATTATTCAATTTTCTGCCTGTTTTCATTTTATTTTTTTAAATAAAAGATTCTCATTTGGCAAGCAGGATGGGTCCAGGTTTCACATCTCAATACAAACATGACCATAGTTACCTGTTCATTTTGTTTAATTTCATATTGCATCATCCTTATTATTATTAAATATTAAGCTTATCTTATCCAATCCCAATTCATGGTCTCATATCTTATTTTAAAATGTTATTTAAAATTCTCATCTCAGTTCTGAGAATGATCTTCCTTTGTGCGGGTCACTCAATGTCCCGGTTATCGCCCGGTTAGACTACGGCAAGGCGCTCTCTGTGGGGCTGCCCTTGAAGACTGCAAGGAACCCTCGACTTACAAACCATTCATTTAGCGATCGTGGGAAGGTACAACGGCCTGAAAAAAAGTGACTTGGGATTGTGGTTCACAGCCAGGAACTTTCCAGCATCTTCCCCACGTGATGAAAATTGAGATGGCTTGGCAGCTGGTTCGTATTTATGACCGTAGTGGTATCCCACTTTTTACGACCTTCTGACAAAGCAACGCCGACCGGGAAGCCAGATGCACTGAACCACCAAGTAACTTATCAACTGCAGCAATTCACTTAACAAGCATGACAAAGTAGGTGGTAAAATGAGGCCAAATTCCCTCAACAAATGTCTCACTTAACGACAGGAATTTTGAGCTCCACTGTGGTCGTAAGTCAAAGACTACATGTATTTACAGTGACCAATCCTCGTATTGAGGCCCCGTTACAGCATTCCCACGGTCATGTGAACAAATACATTGCAACTGGCATGTTATTTTATGAGTTGTAACACCTCAGGGTCCCAAGATCACCATTTAAGACGCTCCCAGCTGCCTTAAGTGAAGCCGGGCTCGCTTAACGACCGTGTGTTTAGCAACACGAATGTGAGTGGGTCAATTCAACAGGTATTGCATGGGGCGATCCACTCCACCACCTTAATTGCCAGGCTGCACCCAACAGGTGCAGCAGCCGAGATAAAACCGTGCACCGAGAATTTCAGGCCTGATCTGAATTTCACCTCATTTCTGATGCAATAACCGGAGAAGATTAAACAAAAGAAAACCACCAGAGCATCTCATGTGGTCTCTCAGGGAGTTCCTGGGCTGAAATGCTGCTGATTTTCCTGCTATGGCACCGTGCTTTGCATGCATGTGCCTAGAGACATCTATCCGTTCCCCTCGTATCCCGTTCTTAATCGCCTATGGTGATTAAAGCTAATTATTTACGGCCTAATTTTACCTGACTTCAAAGCTGGAGGGAAGGAGGGAGGGAGGGAAGGAAGGAAATAAGAGGGAAGGGATGAAGGAGGGAGGGAAGAAAAGAGGGGAGTTAAAGAGGAAAGGAGGAAGGA